ATGACGCTCAAGATCATTGGGAATTCAGCGGTCGTCATGAACACGGTCGCGAAAGACCCCGAAGAACCTGAGACTCGTCCTGAGCCGGTAGAGCAGACCCATCCGGACTTGAGTCCAGAGGTTAAGACCCTGGATCCAGAGAGTATGGCAGGTGTCGAGAATGACGCTCAGGCCCCTGAACCGTCAGTGGATGTCCGGTCACAGACGAGCTGTTCGACACCGGTTCAAAGGCTGGAAGCGGAATATGCTCGGTCTCTGCCGAAGAGCTGGACCTGGAATCTGCCGTATAAGGAAGTGGTCTGATGGCGCAGTTACGAGACCAACTTATCATGCTCCCGGAAATTAAGGAACTGACCCCAGAGTGTAACATCGACGAAGCTAATGTCGGAGTCCCAGGGGTCACAACTCCAGAGATGGAAGCCAAGATGAGAAGGATCCTGAAACGTCATCGCAGCATCTTCCTGGGAGATGGCAACGCAGCCCCAGCCCCGGCTAGGGGTGTAGTGTTTGATATCGACGTTTGTTAAGCAAAACCAGTAGCTTTACATGCGAGGCAGATTGCCGCACCTTTCTTGGTGAAGGTGTTCGAACTCCTGAAGAAGTTGTTGGAGGCAGAGTTCATTGAGCATTCAGAGTCCGAGTGGTCATCACCTATTGTGATTGTGCTGAAGAAAAACGGCATAGACATCCGAATGTGTATTGACTACCGACTTCTGAATTTGCTCATAAAGCTATCTCGCTACCCTCTACCTTTGATCGATGATCTGCTGGTAGACGTCAAGTCTGCAATGTGGTTTATGAGTCTCGACATGGCGAGTGGATTCTGGGCGGTGCGAATGACTGAGCGGGCGAAGCTGATCTCTGCATTTGTCTGTCGGTTCGGTCATTTCCAATGGCTCAGAATGCCCTTTGGATTGAAGAATGCACCGTTGATTTATCAGAGCATCATCAATAACTGTTTGTGGGGATTCGTCCGTCTACCTCCTGAAGAGGAAGCGACGGTTGACTCAGAAGTTCTTAAGTTCCTGGATCTTGAGCCGCAGGAAGTCCTGAAACCTGAGGTAGATATGTGGGCTCAGAGATTAAGGCATTGGACATGACTGTATTTCGACGCAATATCCCGGCTCCGTCACAAATGGGCCCGGTCTTGGGAAGAAGCTCGTACATTGACGATATAGCTCATGGGGCGTCAACCTGGGACCAACTATGTAAAGACCTGGATGCGTTGTTATACAGACTACGATACTGGAATTTCTCTGTGAGCTTACCGAAAAGTGAATTCGGAAAGTTGACCATCCCATTCCTCTCTCATGAAGTGAGTGCAGACGGAATCAGGGCCTTGCCGAAGATTGTCAAAGGTATAGAGGATCTACCGTTCCCGTCAACGTACAAGGGAGTGCAGTCCTTCTTAGGAAGTCTGAACTACTACAACAAATTTATTGACTACCCGTAGTTGCCGCTGTGCTCTACGAACTAGACGAACGTGCTGGACGGAACCTGGAAGCCGCAAAGGAGTCTTTCGAGATACTGAAACGTAAGATCGTGTCGACCCCGCTGTTACGACATCCAGATAGGACCAAGCCTTT